CTGTACCAAGCTTGGGGCGCTTGTCTCGCCTACCCTGCCCCCATCTTGCCATTCTCCCCAAAGGATCTGATTTTCAGGGACAGTGAGGAGATGGGGACTAGCCAGCAGGGGATGGGTGTGGGAGCAGGACACAACCTCCTCCAGACCCCAAGGCCTCTAGTCAGGATCCGGGTTTACTTAAGAACCTGTTTCTTGAAGCAGCCCTGTCCCAGCCAAGACAAACCCAAGCCGTGCAATGCCCTGCTTCCTTGGGTGGGCGTGACTGCCTGCAGCAGTGGCTCGGTGGTTCTAAGACTCAGCGTGTGAGACACCTGCTTGACTGTCTGCTCTGCCTGGGGGTGGAGGTGGCAGGGGAGGGCCCCTTCTCCCCAGCAGTCTCTGGGCAGTGATTCTCAGCCCTGTCAGAGCTTTACTCATGTCCCATTTATCCAAATTGTACAGCTAAGATATGTGGATTTCATCCCATACAAATTTCACCTTAAGAAAACACAGAACCTATAAGAAATAACTTCAACTGGGGAGGAGTGGGTGGAGGTGAATGAGCAAGAATGGCAGAAATTGGTAAGTATTGATGCTGGGTGATGGGTACATGGGGGCATTATATTCTGTTTGCTAAAAATATATATTTGGGGAAAAATAGAAATATATATATTTGAAATTTGCCGTAATAACAAATTTTTAAAAGAGACTTAGAAATGTTTGTTTTCTCTAGAAATCTCCCTTCTTGATCAAGAATCTTAAAGAAATTAATATTCTTTACTTAGTAATTCCACTTCCAGGAATCTTCCCAAAGGAAATAACTAGTGATACTAGCTATTGTAGTGCTATGTAAAATAATGAAAAACTGGACAAAAGTCAATGTCCAACAATAGAGAATGGTTAAAGAAACTATGGTGCCACCATTAAAGACATAGTAAAGTGCTTGTGAACTAAAATGTAAAAAAAAAAAAAAAGGTCAGAATACATAACTACATACCAAGCGATGTATTCATGTGCACGGAAAAGAATCTGGAAAGAGATACACTACACGTTACAGGTAGTGACCTGTGCTCGGTGGACTCGTGGCAGGTTTTCTTTTTCATTCTAGCCTGTATTGTCATCTTTTCTAGAATGAACTTGTATTACTTTGAAAATCATTTTTAAATCTGGGTGTGCGCCCGAACCGGTTTGGCTCAGTGGATAGAGTGTCGGCCTGCGGACTGAAAGGTCCCAGGTTCGATTCTGGTCAAGGGCATGTATCTTGGTTGCGGGCACATCCCCAGTAGGGAGTGTGCAGGAGGCAGCTGGTCAATGTTTCTCTCTCATTGATGTTTCTAACTCTCTGTCCTTCTCCCTTCCTCTCTGTAAAAAATCAATAAAATATATTTTAAAATAAATAAATAAATCTGGGTGTGCCATTTTGAAGGGAGAATAGGTGGAAGGAAGAACAGATTTCCATGCAAGTATCAGCTGTGAAATAAGATACTGGGACTGGAAGAAATCTTAGAAATTAGAAATTGCCTAAGTCCAATTTTCCCATTTTACAGATGAGAAGATTGAGGCTCAGAGGAGTCAAATGACCAGTCAAGTGATCCACTTGAAGGTCACCTCCCTGGGGACCTTCCCCTGCCCCATCCTTCCCTCACTTCCCACCCACCTCAAGTCCCTACTTGTGGCTGTGTCCTCAGCCCCTCATCCCATCTCCCACCTGCCCAGGGAGAGCACCTGACTAGCCTCCTGTGGGCATGTGCCCAGGCCTTGGCAGAGGAGCACTGCCCACCTCATTCGACAATTCCACCAAGACCGAATCATGTGGGTCTGAGTAAATTCTTCTTCCTCTGGGGCCAAAAGATTAGTGTTCCCTACAGATAGCTGAATATTTGGCAAGGCAGGTTCCAACTTTGGGGTTTTTTCCCTTCTTTCTCATGCTCCCCGGAGCATGGTGTGTGGCTGGGTGATTTAGGGGAGGGCAGATTAACTAAGGTGCCCGCCCCTCATCACCCTCCCCTTCTTTTCCTAATGAACAGGCAGTAGCCACTGCCTACTGTGCCCCATTTAAAATTGTGATCTGGATATTTTCATATCATTGTGCAGGGGGAGGGAGCAAGGACTTGTGTGCTTGACATACTCACTGAATATATCTGTGTGTCTCCTTTGTGAATCTGTGCATTATGCAGGGTGTACCCGTACAGAGACAGGTCACTGGGTAAACTGAGGCACTGTTGGGGAACTGACTTCCTCACAAAGTAATAACTGAGGACTGCTGCCAGTTACGTCTCTGATTTAACTGTCTAAGCTTATGTCTTGCATGGTGAGAGTGCAAAGCGTTCAGGTCTGAAATGGCTGCAGCACAGCCAGCCACTTTGGATGGTGTAAATATCCCCAAGTGACAGGAAGTAAATCAGCACATGTAGGAACCACCATTTTCCCAGCAAACCTCCCCCAAGTGTGTCTCATGAAAGGCCATGAAAAGAAATGGTCTTGGCCCGTGTGTCTCCAAAAGACCAAATGCAGTCAGAGTGGGCTAAGCTATCTGCTCGCACAGATTAGGTATTTTAGCGCCAATGATCAGGCCTCAAAGAGAGCCTGGCTGCTGGCAGCCAGCCAGCACTGTCTTGTTTAATTTTTAGATTTGGCTGTTAAGTTTGGCCCAGCGTGAGCCTGTGTTTGGTTCGAGGTAGGAGGGTGGAGGATTCCTGGTGGGAAGGCCTGGGTTCTGGCTCTGTGACCTTCCAGCCGTGTGACCTTGGACAAGACATCTCACCCGGTAGACAGTGTTTCCCGTCTGTACAAGGAAGGGAACAACCCTGCTCTGCTTGTCTGGCTGAAGGCAGACTGAAGAGCAAATGAGCCGCTGTTGCGGGAACTGTGAGAGCACTATGCTAATGACCGGCATGATCATGTTCACAGCCTGAATCCTCTCCGCCTGCTTCCCTCAGTTCCGCGTTGCATTTACATACCGTGGGTTTTACCCCTCATTCTTGCAGCAAAACCCTTTGGAACGCATCGTTTTAGCCCTGGAATTGATACATGTGGGGTTGCCTGCCCTGTTTATCTGAGAGTCCTCTGAGATAAGGAAAAGACTGGAATTAGGAGGAAAAACAGACCCCGAGAGATATTAGCCAAAGGCACAAAGAACTGCCATCCTGGTGTTCTTTCTTCCCTAGATGACAGCAACATCTAAGTGCAAAGCCGGAGACTCTCATCAAAAGTTAGCCTCACGCCCTAGCCAGTTTGGCTCACTGGATGGAGCGTCGGCCTGGGGACTGAAGGGTCCCAGGTTCGATTCTGGTCAAGGGCATATACCTTGGTTGCGGGCACATCCCCATTAGGGGGTGTATAGGAAGCAGCTGATCGATGCTTCTCTCTCATCGATGTTTCTAACTCTCTATCCCTCTCCCTTCCTCTCTGTAAAAAATCAATAAAATATATTAAAAAAAAAAAAGTTAGCCTCACGGTTCCTCAAACTGCCCCCTTGTCCTCTGCATCTGTTCCCTCCGGAGGAAAGTGCTGTTTGTGGGTGGCGGCCCTGAGTCCCACCAGGTACCACATCTGGTACCTATAAGTGGTGGGTGTACAATACATATTTGGTAAATATTTATAATAGAGGAAAATAAAAGAGGAGCTCTACAATTGTCCTCTTATCACCTTAAGTGTCTTAAACTACAGAAACACGTCTATCTTATTTCCACAAGTTGGGGATGCTACTGCTTCTCAGACACACCATTTGTTATGTACCACAAAGAATTAAAACATGGCGCGATGCTTCCTTGTCGTGTCAGTTATAAGCCACACATCTTGATTTCACTGATGTTACAATGGGAAAGAAACGGGCATTTTAGAAGAGATGAAATGCAGTAGGTAGGGCCACCTCTTTCAAAGGAAAAGCTTTCCCTTGTGGTCCTGATGCATTCTGAGATTAGCTGTCTCGTTTTCAGGCTCAGCTCCTTGCATTTATACATGTTATGCAACCATGCTTTCATATGGGTTGAGAGGCGACATTACCTCTATTTTTCTTATGGACACAATAATACGAAGTAGTTCTGTGCTTTAATATAGTTTTAGTGCAGATTGTAAAATACTTGTCAGAGCCAAAGTCAAACCAATTCTGCGCTCTATTATTTATGACAAGATTTAAAAGAATAAACATTCATTCTGTCTTCTCTCTCCCAAGTAATGGTTTTTGTTGTCCTACTTAGTGGCTGATTTGGCTGTTTTGCTGTTGTTATTTAGCTTATTCTTAGTTCAAGTAAAGCAACTGAACTGTGAGTTTCCTACTGCACAGAGAAATCAGGCATGAACAGACCCACAGGATGAGAGCACATCACCTGCGTGGGCTAAATATGACGTTTTTAAAGTGGGAGGTGGGAATTCATCGTCTTTCTGGGCAGAAGGGAGCCTGAGGAATACAGGGTAAAAGAAATACAGCTTCTGTAACAATCCTTTGGAAATTTTTAATGGATAATCCTTGCTCATAAATTCTACAGTTTGGGGTAAGAAAAACTCCATCTATTTCTAATCTGTTCAGTAATATCAGGACATTACTTATACATAACGGCAAAGAGTCACCCCAAAGAAAAGAAAAAGAAAGGATTTCTAAAGGCTAGACCAGCCATGGGCAAACTACGGCCCGTGGGCCGGATCTGGCCCGTTTGAAATGAATAAAACTAAAAAAAAAAAAGACCGTACCCTTTTATGTAATGATGTTTACTTTGAATTTATATTAGTTCACACAAACACTCCATCCATGCTTTTGTTCCGGCCCTCAGGTCCAGTTTAAGAATCCATTGTGGCCCTCGAGTCAAAAAGTTTGCCCACCCCTGGGCTAGACCATGACTGGATGGAGAGGAGTGGTCTAAATAATTATAGCTCCCATGATGCCTTGCTCCCCACCAGGGTCTCAGGGTGTTACTCTGTTGATGAGGGTCAGTAGCCCTGATGCTGGGGAGGAAAAGGGTGAGAAGCTGGTACGGTTGGATCAGCACTAACATGGGTTTTGCCCACTGTTCTCTCCCCTGCAGTCTGAGTACCACTACGAGTACACCGCATGTGACAGCACGAGTTCCAGGTGGAGGGTTGCTGTGCCGCACACCCCAGGCCTCTGCACCAGCCTCCCGGACCCCGTCAAGGGCACCGAGTGCTGTAAGCAGCCATCCCGCTCCAGGGCCACCTGTCACTCAGCTTCAGCCTCTGCCCCATGCCTCCTGCCTTGCAAGCGAGGCCCTCCCTGACAGTGCAGCTGCCTTAAGGAATCAGATCTTTTTCCCACTTAGTCCCCATCCTCAACCCTTTTGAGATTTGGCGCAGAAATGTTATTTCACAGATGCAAACTGGGTATCTGAATTTGCTTTAAAAAATTTTTTAAATCCCATTAGGGTATAAAGTGTAAGTAATTCCAGCTGTGTGCCATGCAGATCCTTTTTTCAGTGTGCATACATTTTCCTTTTTGCCTGTGCATGCCTCCAATCTGCACTCACCAGCCACAATTGGTCATTAGAAAGATTGCAATTTGCTTTCGTCCTTGAAAAGGAAGCCAGAGAAGATGAATTTAAAACACACTGGGCATCACTTCAGGAAACAAGAACCTTCCCCGACTGGAGCTGACTGTGCAATCAGCCAGGCGATGGCTTGCCTGCAGCTCCTGTTCCCACCTCTGCGACTCTTAGAGCTTTTCTACAATCAGCTGCTCATTCCCCTGCACTGTTCTTTTTAGATATGCAAAGGGAGTAACAATACAAATCAGAGACTAGAATCAAGAAACACTTGAAAATTTGGAAAGGAAATTGAGGGCATTTAAATTCTAAAATAGGCTTAGCATAATGCCTGGTTCAGTAAGTGGGCAAATAAATACTTATTAAATTAGAGAATGAATATTTCGAAGACCCGAGCAGAACAGAGGTGTGACTAATGGTAACAAATGAGCCGTCTTCTCTTAACTGGGCCAACTTTATCGAGCTCCTCCTATGTGCATATATCCATTCATTTGTCAGCAAAACCTTTATGGAGAGCTCCTGTGTCAGTCACTGAGCCATCATCCCTGGAGGAGTCAGGGCCTGGTGGCAGGCTCCCATCAATATGATGTGTTAATACAAGGTGAAAAAGAATGGGGGCTATGGATACTTATTAGGGATCAGAACCACGTGAGCAAAAGTTTGGAGGTAGAAGAACACGTGACCTGGGATGAAGACAACGCAGGCAGCGTGAGGATGGGGCTGGGCTGGAGAAAGGTCTGCATGGGAGATAAGCTGGAAAGTTTGGCTGAGAGCTTAATTCTATAACCAAAGAGGGGTACCTGATCATTTTTTAATTAAGTCAATGTTTTAGAATGATACTTCTGACCACAAAGTGAGCAGAAACAAGAAACAGGGCACAAGTTAGGAGGACATTGCCGAGGGTGAGCTCACAGGTCATGAGAATCCCAACCGCATGGTCAGTGGAACCGGAAAGGAGACAGAGACTCAAGGGGAAACTCAAGGCTGGAGGGCCAGGTGCCCTTCAGAGGGGTCGGCGTGAGAGACCATGGTGTCCTCTTCACTGGAGAGGTCTCGGAATGGCCATGGCTATTCCCTTAGGAAACAAGATTGACAGGGATAAGCCCAAATCCCTCAGCAAGGCAGAGCTTCCACAGCCCAAGTCTTTTTCTTTTTTAAATCACAGCTTTACTAAGATATAACTTGCATGTCATAAAATTCACCTCAAAGTGTAAAGTTCACTTAGTTTTTAGAATATTCAGAGTTGCATAACCATCACCACTATTTAATCTCAGAACACTATCATCCCGAAAACAGACATCAAATCTATCAGCCATCTCTCCCCCAAGTCACTGGCCCCACAAATTCACCATGTGTCTTTGTGGATTTGCCTGTCCGGACATTCCATGTTAATGGACTTGGACAAAAGACATGCATGGCTCTAACGCTTAGCGGGCCCAATGCCTAGACCTCCACCCTCTGCTCCTCCCTGTAGGATGCCCAGAACCTGCCCACTTCTCCTAGGGCAGCAGCGGCCTCACCACCCCACCCTTGTCCTTGCTTTGTGTTCCAGCCTTTTCTTGCAATGCTGGGGAGTTTCTGGACATGAAGGACCAGTCCTGTAAGCCCTGCACTGAGGGCCGCTACTCCCTTGGCACAGGCATCCGGTTTGACGAGTGGGACGAGCTGCCCCATGGCTTTGCCAGCCTCTCATCCAACGTGGAGATCAACGACAACACCAACGAGTCCACTGAGAACTGCACTTTGTGAGTCACCTTCTCCCTGTCCTCTCCCACCCCTGTGCTCCCTCCTCCCTGTGCTGGGAAGGGGCTCAGGGAGCACTCCTCTTCTGCTCTGCAGGCGGGCAGGGAGGGTGGAGAGGAGGGAGCCCAGGCTGAGGGCTGAAGCAGGTGCCCACAGCACTGTTAGGTGGGACGTCCGTCCACCTTAGCCCATTCACGGACATAAGCTTCCTAGTGATGGACAAGCATTTGTGGCAGGAGAAAAACATGGGGAGATAGAGAGAGGTAGGTAAGATGGCCATGGGTTCAAGGGCCCAGTCCATTTAAAACAAAATCCAATTGCATTTCCACCATGGAATTCAGGGTCAGCCAATAAACATCCTCACGTTGATGGCAACACAATGTGTAAAGCCCTGGGCATCTTCCTAGCTTCGGTGCTAACTTCTAAAACTGGTCTGCCAACCCCGAGGTGTGGGGGGGATAGAGCAGGACCAGAGCTTTGGTCGGTGGTGGCTTTCAAATCCTTTGAGACTCCAGTGACTGAAAAGTTCCCAGCTCAAAAGGAGATATTTTTAGTAATTGAAAAGCTCAGCTCAGGGTGCTTGTAGAACTGGTGAGCTTTCCTTGTCAAAACCTCTGAATACGTAATGCCAGGGGTCGGAGTGAAATGATGTGCCTTCTGTTGTTCAGCGCCATGCTGGATGCTTTAATCCCCGCGAGAACCTGTGAAATAGCATGACTGTTCCCATTTCACAGGTGAGGACCTGGAGACTCAGCGAGTGAGGTTCAGTGACTCGTCCTTTGTTACCCGGCTTACGGCTGGCGAGCCTGGAACTCACACCCAGTCCCAAGCTTTCTACTGCCCCGAGCTGCCACCTTCAAATGAGTCGGTGTGTGCGAGGCAACGTTGGATCCTAGGGAAGAAAGTGGGGGCGGTGCATGGATGTAAAAGACAATCGTCCACTGCTCTTTGTTAAATATTGGTCAAGAATACGGGAGAGAAGTACGTCCTTGAAAGTGTCTCTTATGCCCAAGCAATCAAAAGGACAAAAAGGAGTTAATAACTGTATTACACCTGGATTTCTAAAACGAGAGCAATGTCTCCCATTCTTATACTTTAACCTCCTAGAAGTACCCTTGTCGGAGCCAGGCAGCAGGCATTTCAGAGTCCAGTTTTAGAATTCAAACTATGTGTCAAAATCATTAGCACGACAACACTGCCTCCGAGAGAAAGCTGGAGAGGATTAAAGCTGGAAGGAGAGGGAATGCAGGTTAAGACAACCAACCCCATCTGTGTCCTAACAGAGAATGTGACTGAGCCGACACAGGTGCAGGCCTGGCTCACTCAATCAATTCCTACTCAGCGAGAAAGGTTTCTCTTTGTCTGGGGATGCACTGAAGTCCAGAAATCATTACCTCTCAGCGGGGCAGGGTGTGGGCTGCGTAATAAAACAACCCAACCTGCTTCCACGACACAGAGCCTGAAGGGCCTGGATCTCAAAGCGTCCAGGACATCCCTGGGAGGGGAGAGTAGGTTTCTCTCTAGAAACGGAGAGCAGATGGCCATCCAGAGAGGCTTTGCGATTTCCTCACCACCCACAGAAAGGCAATAGTTGAGCTGGTATTACCTGAATCCACTGCCTCCAAACTAACCCCAGCCAGCACCACCTCCTGCCTGTTCTGCCTCTAACACCTCCCAGCAAGTACCTCCTTCCACTCCCAGCCTTCTCCAAGCCACTGTCCACTCAGCAGCCAGATTGATCTTAAAACACAAATACAACCACAGTACTTTCCTGCTGAAAATTCTGGATGCTGTCAACTCTTATTGCTCTTGGAATAAAATCCAGTACCTGCCCCGACTGGCCTCTGCTCTCTGCCCATTTCTCCAGCCTCTCTCAAGCACCTTCCCTCTTGCTTATTATGCTCTAGCCAGACTGGCCACCACACTCTGTCCCTCCTCGGGGCCTAAGTGTGACTTCCTCAAAGAAGTCATTCCTGACCCCACAGGCTCCTGTTACACACTCTTGCATCATCTTCTCCTTATGGCACTTATCACAGTTATTACTACGTGATTAATTGTGTGATTAGCTAAGCTTCTGTCTCCTCAACTATAAGCAGAATGCAAGCTTCAAGAGGGAGGGGACCAGGTCTCTATTGTTTTTTGTTGTATGTCCAGCATCTAACATCTGGCACAACTTTGACAAGAAATAAATAACGGAACAAAATAGGACAATCCTTCAGGGGCTCCTTCTTGGTTCCTGGCTAAATGTCCCTTGATCACGGTGCTGGAAACAACCCTTAGATCCAAGACTGGGATAAGCAAGAGGGAACAGGAGTAAAGAAGAAGTAAGATAGAAAGGATGCTGTATGTTAAAGGAGAAAAAAGGACAGAAGCCAAGCAGTATGAGGGTGAAACAAGAATGAGAGCAATATCTATGTAAATACTAAAAAGGGTTTCAAACATAGGAAGCCTCTAAGTTTTCCTGTGCAGTTTCTTCTTTCTAACTTGAACTTATAAAATAATGCCACACAGCGTGAGCCAGGCGGTGCCTGGGTGGCCGCCATGTGAGAATTCTTCTTAGAACACTTGCCTCTTTGACCAGGGTTATGGGAAAACAAAGCAGGTATAAGCAGATCACAGCTAAATGAATGTGAGCAAATTTCCTAATTACTCTGGTGCCTCAGTTTCCTCATCCTGAAAATAGTATTCCTCTTATAGGGAGTGGTAATAATTAAATGAGATGATAAGAGCAAGAATTTGGAGCAATGCCTGGCACTAGAAATCGGTGAAGACATGTTGTTCTGATTGAGTGTGAAGTGCTCTTCGCCAGGGACAGCTCTGACAAACACCAGAATTGTGATGCATTTTGCAAATGTAACCCATTATGGCACCCTTTTAATTATTCATCTGACTTCAGCAGTTATTTATAGCTGATGCCGGGGAGCACATCAGCATTCAGTGTTGTCTCGTTTAACAGGAGCAATCAATACCATTAGGTTAGTGCGGGAATCTTGCAGGAGCTCAGCATAGGTGCTTTGGATATGCTTCCACGCGAGAATAACACTAACTGTTGAAGAGCTGGAAGTGCCATGTTACTCTGACAAACACAGGAGGAAACCAGGGGACGAAACTGAGGTCCCCTTAATGGGACATTATTAGTCACTGGAGACATGAGCTGGTTTCCAGCAAAACAGTGAAATAGTGGGGGCATAATGTGGGGCCACCTCTTATTGGTTCCTTGATCCAGAGGTTGTTCTTTTAAAAAAAATATATATAAATGTTTTATTGATTTCAAAGAGGAAGGGAGGGAAAGAGATAGAAACATCAATGATGAGAGAGAATCGTTGATTGGCTGCCTCCTATACGCCCCACATTAGGGATTGAGCCCGCAAGGCAGGCATGTGCCCTGACTGGGAATCGAACCGTGACCTCCTGGTTCACAGGTCGATGCTCAACCACTGAGCCACGCTGGCCAGGCTCAGACGTCATTCTTTACTGAGCATTTTCAGGTCTAAGCTTTCGCCTGTGAATCACAAATCAAGAATTCCCCCAGAGACCTAGAAGGTCACATGAAGCTGGTGGGCCGTGCCCCTGACAGTGAATTTGGCCCCTGTTTCAACCCACAGGTCCAAGTGGGTTCCCCTGGGCGACTACATCGCCTCCAACACGGACGAGTGCACGGCCACACTGAAGTATGCCGTCAACCTGAAGCAGTCGGGCACTGTCAGCTTCGAATACTACTACGCAGACTCCAACATCATCTTTGAGTTTTTTGTAAGCTGTTGGCCAAGGGGGAGGGTGGGCGGCAGAAACTCTCCGTGGCTCAGATGCACCTGCAGAAATCAAGCCCAGTCCTGCCTGGGAAATCGCCACAGTTGTTACCCTCTGGAGAGAACTGTGGGCAAAAGGAGCTGAGGCTTCAAGAGGCGAGGGGATCTGAGGGGAGGAGGGGAGTCTGGGAATCCTGGGGGTTTCGCCCTGCTCAGACACGCACACCGCATGGAATGGCTTCTCTGAGTTACCGGTTATGTCTTTGTTGTCAGTGCCTGACGTTCTGTGTGTGCGACTAGCTCCTGCCCTCCTTCAAGGCTCGTATGTTCTGAGCTCTGTTCCTAAAGGAAATTGGCAACTCTTCTCCCACAAAAAGGGGCCTCTGGAAGGCTGCCACAGCGTGGGGGAAGGAACCCATTTCCTTAGAAGACTCTGATCCCAAACTCCTGCTGCCTCAGGTCCAGAATGACCAGTGCCAGCCCAATGCAGATGACTCCCGGTGGATGAGGACCACAGAGAAAGGATGGGAATTCCACAATGTGAGCATCAAGCCAGCCTTCCTGCCGCCTCTGCTGGAGATGCAGCCGTTCCTAGAAATCCCGGAAAAGGGACCAAGGGCCTTTCCTCCGAGGAGTGCTTCCTCCCAGCCCAGGCCTCCACCCCTCCTTCCCCAGAGGACAGGGGTCTGACATGATGAGGAGGCTGCAGTTTCTCTCCTAATGAGTTGACGAAATATGGGTGTGGGCTGTCTTGCTGCACCAGTGGCTTGACCCCAAGGATCAGCAGCCTTTTTAAAGGCCAGGTCTTCTGGGGACAGGAGATGGATAAGTAGAATCAGAGAAGAAGGAGGAATTCCATTCACCCTACTGTCAGACCCACCCTACCGTCAGATCCCTTCACCAGTCTCGCTGCAGAGTTGCCCATGGTGTATGTGACTGAGGGTGGGAGATGGTGGTAGAGGAAGCTCAGAAGACAGAGGAGGAAGGCCAAGGCAAGAGCAAGTGCAAAGCTGAGGAAGTGAGGGGGAGGATCAGAATAGGCACTGGTAAGAGGAGGGGTCCCAGCAAGAGGCTGCACTAACTCCTGTCTGTGTTTGTAGGTAAAGCTAAATCGAGGCAATAACGTCCTCTATTGGAGAACCACAGCCTTCTCAGTGTGGTCCAAAGTCTCCAAGCCTGTGCTGGTGAGAAACATCGTCATCACAGGTATGGAGAGGGGGCGGGGCCTGGGTCTGCTGCTGAGTTTTCAGCCTTGTGACTCTGTAGGAGGAGAGTGGGGGCCAGTCCCCAGGGGGCTCAGTCTCTAGGCGCAAGTTTTGCTTTTCTATGTTCTTCCTTCCCAGGGGTGGCCTACACTTCGGAATGCTTCCCCTGCAAACCCGGCACATATGCAGACAAGCAGGGCTCCTCTTTCTGCAAACTTTGTCCAGAAAATTCTTATTCGAACAAGGAAGAAACGTCTTGCCACCAGTGTGACGCCGACAAATACTCAGGTGATGTTTCTGAGGGCAGGAAGGGTTTGGAGGGCGATACCAAGCACAGGGAGAAACAGGCGGTGGAGCCATCCTTCTGGTCAAGTCCAGACCGGTCATTCTTAAACCCTTGCTTTCTGGACACTGGAAGAACCTTGCCAACCCACATCCTACCAATTGCTCCGGAAATAAAAATGAAATCATTTAATAGGTATTCATGGAGCTGCTACTATCTGCCAGGGCCTATTCTAGGTGCTTGGAATATATTGGTGAACAAAATAGACAAAGTGCCCTGTCTTCATGGAATTTACATGCTGGAGGGGGTAAGACAGACAATAAACAACAACTATAATAAGTAAACAATAAATATATAAAAGTTTATATTGTATGTTAGACAGTAAGAAGTACATGGCATGGCATGGCCAGTGTGGCTCAGTGGTTGAACGTCAACCTATGAACCAGAGGGCCCCGGCTCAGGCACTCCAGTGGTTGGTAAGGGGGCCAATCTCCAAGACAGGTCCTGAAAAAACTAGTAGTGAGAGAGAGAGTCCCTTTTCTGCCTCTGCAAACACTCACAACTAGTTATTTCATTTTTTTCTTTCTCACACAGAACCATACACAAACCCAGCTCAGGGCGCTCTCTCAAGCAGACCCCGAATCCCTACACAGACACACCCAACCTTAACACAGGTGTTATAGTATGTGTTGGCTCAGCCAAGACCCGCCACTGACCTTGTGAACTGCTTATTTTTACACTATTTTTAAAACAGAAATCCTGTTTCTGTCCACGGATCTTGCCAGAGGAGTATAGATTTCAGCAAGAACAGGAATGTTCAGATCTTGGGGGAAGTTTTTATCTATACGTCCAAATTCCTGTTCTTCCACTCGACTTTCTTATTCCTCTTCCCTGCTCGGTCAATGGCAGCCTTTGTTAGTCTAAGTCTCCAGCTCTTTCCAGCCCAGCTGCTGTACAAGGGTGTGAATGGCAAGTGGTTCTAGAAAAACTACCTACGAGTATTTTGATCAACTCCATGTAAACCAATTTGTATTCAGAGAGCTGTTATGAAGTGGTAGGTTAGGAGTCTGAATTCTTGGAGTCTATTCTCCTTCTGCCACCGATTTCCCACTCCACCCCTTTGGCTGGGGAGTGAGTTTTTACTACGAAGAACAAGGTCAGCTTGTCGACCACCTACCAGCTAGGGGTACAAAGAGGGTTACAGTTCTTTGGGACTTGACTCCTCCAGAATCCAGGGTCAATGGGAAGCTGGGAAGCTGCTGAGAGAGTCCGATGAGAGCCTATGATGGAGTGCACATGAAGGAAGTGACCGAAGACCCTGGGAACCTTTAGTCACCCATTTACAAATACGTCCTGGGTGTCTTGTAGGTGCCAGGGCTTCAGCTTGGTGCTAGGGTTAGAGCGGTGCCTGCCTTCCAGCTTATGTTGAAAAGGGGAAACGTGGTTATGGAAACATCTAAGTGTAGTGACTTCATGGAGTCGGAGGTGCTGGGATAGGAGCACCGAGTGTAGGGTGCAGTGGAGGTGAAGAAGGGAAGCGGTCATTCCTCTCTAGGGAGAGAGGAAAGGCTTCGCTAGCTGTGGTCTTGAGAGATGAACGGAGTCTTGACAGACAAGTTGGTGATTTGATGGGGGCGGGACATTCTGGAAGAAGTTAGAGCCAAAGCCAGAAGGCTCAGGGAACTTCAAGTAACTAGCACGGCTGGAGCTTACTTGGAGAGGTGTGCAGGGAACAGATTATGGACCGTCCTTCTGTGCCACTCCTCAAAAGTTGAGATTTGATCCTTTCAGCAGTGGGAGCCACTACAAAGTTTTAAGCTGGGGACATGGCCTGGCTTGTGCTTTTGAAAGACCACTCTGGCTGCCATTTGGAAAATGGGTGAGGAAAGGAGATTTTACAACAGGTCCAGGTATCCAGGACCTAGACTAAGGCAGAGCCATTGGGGGAGGAGATGTTAAGCACAAAACCTTGACTGAAAGAAAGCATTTTCCTCATTGATACCTAAACCTTGATCATTAGGATTAATTCCTTTGTGTTACATTTAATAGTTAGGGATTCATTTCCTAAGAGAACAGCCTGGGATTTAAGAGCCTGGACCCCAGAACTAAATTACTATGGTTCGAATCTCTAGTCTACCATTTTACTAGCTTCGCCACCTTGGGCAAGTTATCTGTCTGTGCCTCAGTTTCATCATCTATAAAATGGAATGACAGTAATCATATCTACCTCATAGTGTTACTGTATGGATTAAGTAATATAGGTGAAGGATTTAGAACAGTGCCTGGCTTGTAGTGAGCACTAACTTTATTAATTCATTATATTAAGGCCTGTCCCAGCAGTCCTCTGCTAATATAAAAATGCTATTGGCATAGATAGCAATAATAATATGACACTTGTATGATACTTTACAAATTATAAAACATTATCTCATTTATCACTCATAGCATAGTACAAGAGTGACTTCCCCATTTACAAACGAATAAAGAAAAGCTCAGAGAGGCTCAGAGATTTGCCCAGAGTCTGAGGTGGTATCTGAGCCTGGCCTGTTTTCTTTTGCTAAAGTGTATCAGAATGAGAACACTATACTCCTGATGCAGGGGGAAGACACTGAGAGGAAGAGGAAGGTACAAAAAGAAGAGTTGGAGCCCCCAAGATAGACTTTATTTCCTTACAGTTTTGGCCAGGCCCGATCCTACAGGAATCACGTTTCATTTTCTCAAACATCTAGGCCGATCTTTCAAATTTGACTAGTACCCACCTTAAACACCAAGATGAAACCTGAGCCAGGAGAGTGAGGTCTGTCGCAGCATTTGGGTTAATCATTTATTAACACCACCTTAGCAGTTGTCCATGTGTAAACAGCTGGACTATTTTTCCTGATACCTGGAGCTAGCATGTCAGGCTGAGCAAATATTTGACAAGCAGAGAAAGGCCCTCGTGTGGAATGCACTTTCTTTTTCTTTTCATTTTTAAGATTATATATATATTTGATTTTAGAGAGGAAAGGAGAAGGAGAAAGAGATAGAAACATTAACGATGAGAGAGAATCATTGATCGGTTGCCTGCTGCACGCCCCGCACTGGGGATTAAGCCTGCATCATGGGCATGTGCCCTGACCGATACTTGAACTGTGATCTCCTCGTTCATAGGTTGACACTCATCCACTGAGCCACACCAGCTGAGCTGGAATGCACTTTCTAACAGGCAGCTTGCAATTTGCTAAACCCAATACATAAGGGTCCTGGGAATTGGTGTGTTTTCAGTATCTCCCCCAAATTTCTCCTGGCAAGTCGGTCAAAAATAGGAGTCCCTGATCCCTCTGTGCTGAATTAGGCCTTCTGCTTGTTAACCAAATAAACGAGCTAAGAAGGCCCCAGATGTTTCTCAGCCAGTAGTTCCCTCTTGCCCAAGCTTATAAGACAGGGACAGAAGAGGCGTGGAGGTGTGTGGTTGTGGGAACTCCCTGGTGCAGGCCAACAAGGCGACAATTGGGAAATTTTCTAATCTAGGAACTCATTTGGTGCCTTAGGAAGAAGAAGAGCTCAATTGAGAAATAAGCCCTTAACTGGAAGGGAGAGAAAGAGACTTTTAATCCTTATTAAAAACCCATGATAGTTACCAAATAAAATAACCCCTACAATCCCAGGTAATAAGAGTTACCAGCATTTAGTGAGTCCCTCCTTACAAGGTGCCAGGTGTGCTGGCTTCTGCCAAGTAGATATTATTATTATTCCTGTTCTACATATGAGAGCACTCAGGCTCAGGGAGGTCAAGTAACTTGCCTAAAGTGACACAGCTACGAAATGATGACGCGGGATCCAGACCCAGACCCAGACCCGTCTGAGTTAGTAGCTCATTCCACTCCACCACACTGCCTGTCAGGTAACAGAGAGTGAGGCAGTCTCACATGATCACATGCTCGCCTGCAGGATGTGATCATTAGAAATAGTGGTGAGAGCAGTGGTACTAGTGTACACTCACATTCTACAAAGCAGTGATTTTTATTCTGGAGAAAATTAATTTCTTGGAAATTTAATGCATGGGATTCCACTCCACCACACTGCCTGTCAGGTAACAGAGAGAGAGGCAGTCTCACATGATCACATGCTCGCCTGCAGGACACTGTAGTCACATTAGAAATAGTGGTGACAGCAGTGGTACTAGTGTACACTCACATTCTATAAAGCAGTGATTTTCATTCTGGAGAAAATTAATTTCTTGGAAATTGAATGCATGGAGTGTGTGTATTTTTGGATAGAGAAAACAGGTCTCTTTTTCAAATTCTCAAAAGGGTGCATCATTTTTAAAAGGTGAGAACCCTTGTTTTAAAGAGGGATTCACTGAAACAGTTCTTGCTATCCAGGGGCTCAGCGGGTTAAAGCAGAACTAACAGGCACATGAGGAGAACACACAAGAGGAGAATAAATGAAACGATAGCTGACATTTTTCCATCAGGTGCAGAGCATGCTGGGGTGCTGGGGGGCGGGGAGGTTGTGCGGAAAGAAAATATGAAGAGAAAATTCAGAGAAAGAATTAGAATAAGAGCATGAAGGCACTGTCCTAAGCTTTTCTGTTCCCCTCAGGAGTAGAAACCGCACCCAGTCAGGATTCTGACCTGGAAGATGGCGGGTTTCAGGGAACGTGGTTGGTGGTGGTTAACCTGTGAGATGCTCTTTCTAGCTACCCACCCTCACTGCGGGTCCTCCGGCCAGTCCACTTGTCCACGCGCTGCACCCCAGCGCGGCTGTGGCTTCTCCCCAGCACCAGGGACGGTGCACAGGGGCGTCTGAGCAGGGCCTCAGGGACGGTGACTTCCGCCACTGAGGCCGAGGGCAGGGTTGGTGTGCAGGCTTTTCTACTTCCCGCAGTATCTGTGCTGTGCTGGACCCCGGGGTCTTGGGGCCACAGGGTCATGAGCAAGCGGTCAAGAGCTCTGCTTTCCTATGTAACCCGAGTATTTGTCCTCGCGTTTGCCGTTTAGAAAAAGGATCCTCTTCCTGCAAAATGCGTCCAGCCTGCACCGACAAAGATTACTTCTACACGCACACGGCCTGCGATGCCAACGGAGAGGTGGGTAGCACGGTCTCGGGGCCCCTCTTCCCGCTCCCTGGGCTTTACCACATTCGGAGTTCCAGTGGCCACTGAAGCTGCACCAGAGAAAACCCAGAGGCCTCAGAGTGACCCCGGGGCCCGAGTGCAGGGTCTGTCTTAGATCAGACCCTCTGGATGCACTGTCTGCCTCACTAAAGCAGAGCCTCCCGAGGAGACAGAATCAGGAGTCGGGGAAGCTGCATTCACTGAGCGTGTGCTTGGCTGTTAGCATGCACATGTTTGCTGGCTGGCTGAGTTCTGCCTGTTAAGCACAGGATAAAGGCTGGTCCTAGCAGCGACTGTTTTTCAGTCATCTCTCATTCCCCGCCCCCGCCCCGCCCTCATGTTTGCAGCAGCATCTCCTTCCCCAGCAGCAAGCGGGAATGGCTGTGTATCTTATCAGCTGCGCCTCAGACTCAGTTCTGCAGCATCTGGTGTTCCATCTGATCTTGTAAAAATTGCCATTTTCTTGGCCTCAGCTGACTCTCTGATTTCATGAGGACAGTCCTGCTCCTCTTCTCCTCTCTGGGCACATCATGTGGCTGAATGTGCCCGTCTTTGCTCCCTTCTGCCCCACTCTCCCCTCCCGCTTGGGCCAAGGCCTTCTCGACCTGTAGGGTGCTGCTTCTCTTGTCCACTGGCCTCTTGCCTCCCACCCCCAGCTTTATTGCGACGTCACTGACATGTAAGACTGTGTGAGTTGAAGGTGTGCAGCATGTTGATCTGATACCCTCACATTCTGCAAAACGATGAGCATCAGAGCATTGGCTAACACCTCCATCACATCACATAATTACCATTTCTTTTTTTTTATGGTGAGAACATTTAAGATCTACACTCCTAGCAACTCTCAAGTATATGATCCGTTATTACGAACTGTAATCACCATGCTGTACACTACATCCCCAGAGCATAATGGCCTGATCACTGGAAGTTTGTAGCCTTTGGCCAACACAGGCTTGATCAAAGCCTTGATGTCCCAGAACACAGTGTCCATACCCCCATGTGGATTGTTATTATGTGACTGTTGCCTTGTCTCTCTCACCATCTCTGAGTCTCCAGGTCTGACATATAGATGTTACTAGTTTTCTGAATAAATGCAAAAGCAAAGACAACACCCAAGAGACAAATTGGGAATTCCATCCATGCCTTTCTGTGCTCTGGGATTTACCAGCTGCTTTTCCTGTGATTCTACATTGGAATCCGAGCTTTCTCTGAAGACAACTGGTCCCCCCACCCCATGTCACACAAGTCATCATTAAGTATATCCCCTTTCACCCAGTCAACATGCATTCAAATGCATTTATTGAGCACAACCATGTGCCAGGCGCTGGGCTAGGTGCTTGGGATACATCAGTGACCAAGATAAAGATCCCCGCCCTGGTGGAGTTTTCACTATAGCCCAGAATCTCCCTGTCCTCAAAGTCAACTTTCCTAAAGATGTGCTAAGCTGCATACAGGCTAAGCCGTTCTTGATTCATTTCTGCAGACGCAGCTCATGTACAAATGGGCCCAGCCGAAAATCTGTAATGAGGATCTCGAGGGGGCGGTGAAGCTGCCCGCCTCTGGCGTGAAGACCCGCTGCCCGCCATGCAACCCAGGCTTCTTCAAAACCGACAACAGCACCTGCGAGCCCTGCCCTTATGTCTCTTACTCCAATGGCTCTGGTAACCCCCCTTTACTGCCTGATCCCTGCATCTCATCCATTTCCACAGCACCTTCCGAGGGAGGCAGTGAGGGCTGGGACGCCCCCGAGGACTAAGTTCAGGAGACGAGCAGTCAGGGTGGGCTGTCTGTAGGTCATAGTCACACTTGAGAATGAACTGCCTGCTCTTCTCATTCCAACTGCCACTGTGACTCAGGCCTGCAGGGACCCCATCCTCCCCCCCAGAGGCTCCCAGCTGGTGGCAGGGATGCTAACCGGAAGGTCTGGGAGCTGGGGTGGCCAGCTGGACACATATGGACCTGTGAGCCATGCTGCAGAGAGGAGTTGGGGGAATTTGTGTACCTATTCATGTGAATGCATGTACTGCTCATAATGTGACAAATAACATGAACTGTATGGATCAGACCAGAAAATACGTCTACGTTTGGAAAAGAAAAATTAGGTGGGCGAGGAGGATAGCTGGAACTTGGGAAGGAAGGGTCAGTATGTGCAGCTTGAGCCTGTTAAATACATTGCCAGAATGTTTTGGGTCAACTTCGTATCACTGTGCAGCAGTACTCAGCACTCCCTTGATTGGCTGCCCACGACGGTTGCCACTTGTCTGTGTGACAGCAGCCCCGGTCAGGGTGGCTGCAGCCTTCTCGTTGAATGCATGGATCTGTGGTCCCCCCAGATTGTAGCCACTGCCCAGCTGGCACTGAGCCTGTCGTGGGATTCGAATACAAATGGTGGAACACTCTGCCCACGAACATGGAAACGACCGTTCTCAGTGGGACCAACTTTGAGTACAAGGGCATGACAGGTAAGGGCCTCTCCCCTTGCCACGCACTCTCGGCTCCCTGCACACCCACGGGGGCTCTTCCTACGTCACATATTTTCATACTCATGATGTCTAGGGGGGAAATGAGCTAACCAGGCCACGCATTCCCTGGAAAGTTCCATTCCTCATGGGCATGTCTTCTGCCAAATCTCGTTTCAGAGACAAAAACTGAACTAGAAACAGCATGCACATGCCCCAAAGGTCTTGCTCTGAGAGCTTCAGAGTCTTTGACCAAAGTAGTGGGACAGGTGTAACATGGTTGTTTCCGGCAGTGGTTCCAGAGTGTCATCTGGGCGCATGCGTACCCTGCACCCAACACCACTGGGGCGTTAACTCTCTGCTCTCCTTCCAGGCTGGGAGGTGGCCGGGGATTACATTTACACGGCGGCTGGAGCCTCGGACAATGACTTCATGATCCTCACTCTGGTTGTGCCAGGATTTAGGTGAGGAATGCAAAACTAAGGGGAAGCCAGCGCCACCTTGGCCACATCCATGTCCCACATACCTTGGAATGCAGTAGGGAGAGGGCTCTGCATGCTGAAGCAGCAGTTCAGACAGACAGCACGGCAATGGTCTGACAGTGAGAACCTGACCCTGACCCAGGGTCTTACTCGCTGCCCATGCTAATTTACCTACCACTCTCCCGTCCCATCTAGCTCCTTCCACACTGGCCACATGCTACTTAAAGCCTTCCTCCTCACAGCATCAGATACAATTAAAAAAAACTTTTTAATAGGACCAGAAGTGCCCATAGATGGTTCATTTTTATTTGGGGCAAGAAGATTGGGAGGGATTGTTCTTATCATATTTATCCACTTATTCAAGAAGACCTAGGACAAAAAGCAATTTGTTTGCCATTAAAAAAATACTACAGGCAGTGTGGTTCTATGGAATGAGCACTAGACTGTAAGACAGGGCACTTGAATGTTGCCACCTACTGGCTTTGTGAACTTGGGAGTCATCGTGCCCCTATAGGCATTAGGCCCCTGGTCTGTAAAACCAGGGGATTGACAGTGTGAATTTGGACTAACTCAGGCTGAGATGACTCTTCAGTCCACTTGTTAGCACAACTGTGAGCTTGGGCCTGCAGGTCCTCAGAATTCAAGCAAATGGCCAAAGCCGGGAAAAGGCCCTAAGTGGATTTCCAAAGCCAAAGTGAACTCTTGTGCACTTGAAAGATGAGGGGGAACCAGTGACTGGGCTTCCTGACTGCCAGGCTGGCCTCTCCATTCCCTCCTCCAAGCTCCCTCCTTTCCATCCCTGGACGGTGCTCGGTCCACGGTGGTGGCTCAGAAGATATTCGTTTCCCTTCCCTTAATTCACGTTACTCAGGGCTGAGCAGATATAGCCCATGTTTGAGAGATAAGAAAACTCTTTAGGCTTTTATGGGGGCACGTCTCAATTTGCAAATCTGATCACCATAGTAAAGGCTCCCGCACCTCACCCACTCCCTCCCCGCGTTGGCTTTGTAGCTGGCTCTCTCTTCCCCAAAGGAAGGAGCACCCTGAGAACTTCGCTGAAGAGATTACAAACTGAACTACCTGCTCATTGAACCCAGGCAAAGCTCTCACCATCCCCAAGAGAGAGCTGCTAAGTGAATGTAGACAATGTGCATCTCATGATAGCGGTGCTTCTACAACGTTAATGCCCATGTGCATCACCTGGGGATCAGGTCAATGTGCGGATTCTGACTCAGGGTCTAGTGAGCTCTAGGTGACGCGATGCTGCTGGTCTGGGGACCGCACTCTGCTGGTGAGGCTGTCCAGCATTTCACACAGCACCTCCCCATCTGGTATGACTTAGGATCTCACCACAGTGATGGGAGGTGAAGAAGGAAGATATTATTACCTCCATTTTACAGATGAGAAAACTACAGTTTGGCTACGTCAGGGTCACATAGCTAAGGGGCAGGATTGGACTTCGTACATGCTCTTTCCAATATAC